TGCCCAGCTGCTACTGGGGCACGGAGAACAGATTTTCCCCCTTGAGCGGGACCGTACCTTCCTACTGGGATGGTTTATGTGTGTATCCATCTGTCTGTCCCTCGCTATGGAGTTTTCAACCTATTGGCCACTCTTGGCTGAACTTGGTGGAGGAGAAGAGGCCTCCGATGCTGCTCTGCTTTGCTTCCTTGAGTGAAGGACAGAAACAGCTGTGGCTTTTTGTTTGGATTAATGAGCGTTACTAGCCATCACTGGTCCCGCTAAATATCTCTGTGGTGGTGGCAAATGAAAGCTGCTGCTTATGTGCTTCAGGAGAGATTTCACATTCCTTCCCCAAAGCCCAGATGTAAACCAGACTCGGCCCGAACGCATGGCCAGGAGCTCCCGCTGTGGCTGTGGCCACGTGTGGATGCTGGCCTCCTGCGTGGGTCTGTTCAAGCAGACATCCCAGCACAGCCCTGTTGGCCACAGGGGCCACAGCCTGTTTTGGAGACCATTGCTGCCCACCATGGCACCAGCTCCCATGCCTGCGTGCTGAGCCATGCCAGCAGTGTGATATCAGGACCATCACCTCCTCCTCCTCTTCCTCCTTTCCTCAGGAGAGCAGCCATGTGGCAGTGTGCCCTGAGCTGCCAGTCGAGCCTGCCGGGCAGTTTGTAAGATTTATAGCAGGGACATGAGCAGCCCAGCACAGCTGGAGGAGGAAAGTGAGGGAGGCAGGGAAGCAGCGGGGGGAAGGGCTGAAGGCGGGCCCCTGCCTGAGTTCCACCTGGGAGAGGTTTCCCTGCCCAGTCCTTGAAAGCAGCCAGGGAAGGAGCTGGGACACAAAGCGTGCCATGCTCCAATATCCTTAACCTCAGAAAACTCCCCTTCATACCTGCCCCCCTGCAGATATACCTGCCTGCGGTCTGCCCAATCTCCATCCTTCCTGTTTTACTAACAAGCAAAAACCACTCGCGAGTGGGACTGCTTCGTGCCGCCGGCCTGGGGCAGGCTTTGTTTCGATCAAAGGCTGGATATTTAATCCAACCTGCATTGTGTTGGTGGAGGCAGGGCAGGGAGCGGTCAGGTAGATGCTGCTCAGGCAGGGGACAGCACCCGGCAGCACCAGCAGTTTCATCCAGTCCCACTTTTGCTGGCACTTTCCTAGGTGATGGCTCACCGGAGCCATGGTGGATTTGCCCCGTAGTGAGCAAGGGCTGCTGCTGCAGCTCTGTCTCCATGTACGTGATGACTCCAGATGTGCAACTCTGGGTGTGCAGCCCATCCCAAGCTCTGCTGCTTCTTACCAAAGACTCACAAGCAGCAGCCACATCTTGTTGCAACCTTCATCTGGTTCTTCCTCAGATGTCACCTTTTGCACCACTAAAATGCCCTGCAATTTATTCATGCAATCACTTCTTGTTTTCTGGGAATTCCTCCAAGTTGCCACTCGTTTATGATCTGGTGCTCCCAAAAATATATGCAAGTGCTGTTGCCTTCAATCACACATTACACAATTGGCAAGCCCTGCACTCGCTCTCTGCTTGGCAAGACGATTTCTCTTAGCGCAATTTTCTTTTTTCTTGGTCCGCGTATTCCCAGAACTGCTGAATTTTTAGAGTATTTTTCTAGGCATATCTGTATTTGAAAAAAATAATAGTTTAGGCACACCATGTTTTTCTAAATCCTAGCCAAGCAAGCGCTGTATTTCATAAAGCTTTGGGCCACAGAAAGCAACAGACAAGGAGGTATACGTATTTTATATTGGTGTTGATTTACTTTCCCATTGTTCAGGTTACTTAGTCTAATTTTATTTTACATTTCTTCTTTTATTTTTCTTTCTTACAGGTCCCTTTCGCATGTGTAAATATTAGAATTAACGTTTGTGCTTTTATTGTGTTTCATGGGAGGGTTTTCGCTGGAGTCCATGACCTCCACATTTTATTGTGCTTTAACTTTTTGATAAACTGGTTGATATTTTGCAAGATTTTCTCTTCTGTATGTCAGTTCTTTGCTATCTATTAATAAAATAAATCGCTTACCATTTTTCTGAGGAGATTTCCTGATTTAGATATTTACTGACCATTTGTAGACGCGCAAGTCTCTGAGAAGTTTTACCTGATGACTCATGCTTGCCCCACGTTGCTCGCAGAAATGTTTCCTTCCCCTTCTGGGGATTTTCAACAGTTTATTCATTTATTCCAAATATTTATAAAGAGGCACTCAGTTGGTGCCAGGCACAGAGGGAGCCTTTTTAAGAAGGCAGTACCACATGGTGATGGCCAGGCAGGGGGAGCGCAGTGGTCCTTCGCAGCAGCCACTGACAACTTTTTAATGCATTACGTTTCATGTGGCTTGCACCCAGAAAAATAGACAATGACTCCTCGCCTTGGAGCTGG